CTTGGTTTTTCATGGTGTCAGGGAAAACGTGACCCACTATATGTTCAGATTATAGGGCAAGATGGAATCCCATACCACTGAAATGCTCAGACTCTAGAAAGGCTATGCTCAAAGTACAATTGAGGACTAGACATAATCTACCTTTGGTAAAGGCTGGTGCTTGAGACGTTTAACTGTTTTGGAGTAATTGCTGTCTAGGGAAAGCTTTCTTCTTAGAGTTTATAACCTCAATCCTTCCCTCAAATGTGGAGTTCAGATGTACAATATCTGCCTCACCAGAAAACCCTAAGGCAATAAATCAACTTAAAACAGCCTTTGATTGATAGCATCCCAGAGTGCCTGGCAGAAGCAAACACAAATTCTGTCTGGAGGGACTTACCCTCAACCTAGGGGTCACAGGATTTTAACAGATAAAGACCACCAAACGTGTGCTCATGGTTTCAAATCCCAGAGACGCCCAAGGAAACAAAAGCCACAAGCAGGAGACAGGAGAAACCACAGAAAGGAGAACCAGACTTCCAAAAATCTTAAGATAATGCTTTATTGGATAAAATAAATTACCTAAATGCCTAGAATTATTTTTAAATAGGCATAATAACAAGAGTTGCTTATGAGACAAAAAATGAGATTGTATCAAAACATAAATGGAATTGGGGGAAATAAGCACATAAAACTTCTAGAAGTTAAAAATATGATAACAGAACTGAAAAGCCCTAGGGTCCCATTAAACAGCAAGCTGAAAAAGAATTGATCAACTGATTTTTAAAATCAATTGATTTTGAGAAATTAGAGTACAACACAAAGAGATGGAAGTGGTAAAGAGAGAGTAAGAGATACAAAGAGTAAAACGAGTCTATTATATATCTCATTGGGTTTGTAGACTTTTGTTCAACAACAAATTAGAAAAGTAGTCATTTTTATTCAAAACCAATTTGCCACCAACAGATGCTTGGAAAATCAGATACATAAAAAAGCTTGAAAACTTACGAAATTGTTAACATGTGTAAAGCTAAATGACATTGATTATATAAAATAATAATGATTCCATATTAGGCATTGCAATGGACTGAATATTTGTGTTCTCCCCAAATTCATATGTTGAAATCCTAACCATCAGTGTGATGGTATTGGAGGTGGGACCTTTGGGAGCTGATAAGGTCATGAGGGTATAGCTGTCATAAATGGGATTAGTGCCCTTATAAGGAGCTGAAGAGGCCAGAGTATTTTCCTTCCACCATGTGAGGACAGGGAATTTGCAACCCAGAAAAGGGCCCTAACGTGAACCTGACTATGCTGACACCCTGATCTTAAACTTCCAGCCTCCAGAATGGTGAGAAATAAATGTCTGTTGTTTATAGCCACCCAGTCTATGGTGTTTTGTTATGGCAGCTCAAACTAAGACCAGCATTAAAAATCAAGATATAAATAAAATACTGCTACACACTAGTGTGTAAGAGGATCATTCTACAGTACATGTATTATTCAGTAAGAGAGAAAACGTATGGATAAACTTTAGTTTTAAATATACAAAATGAAATATTTTAAGGATAACCATTAGAAGGATAGAAATAGAGATAATAACTTTTAAAGTAATACCAGGGGAAAGGATCGATCTAAAACGTATAAGAAAATATATTGGAAAAACTTGAAAAACAAATAGGATAATAGTAGTGCATAAAATAAATATTGGAAATACATTTAAGTATGTCAGTAATCACAAATTTGTAAAGAGGCAAAACTTACCATCTTAGAAAAAAAGTAATCTTTGGATCACAAAAAGTTTGGGTTAAAAAAAATCTAGTCATATGCTGTTTATAAAAGTCACTTCCCATACATAAGGATATAGGCTGTTTGAAAGCAAAAAGATGGATGTAGCAGGCCAATACTAATTTTAAAAAGCTTTTATAGCTGTATTGTAGTCACATTAGTTTCAAGATAAAAAAGAATTATTACAGATAGAGATGGTCCTGTCAAGATGATAAAAGGTTCTATTTTCTAATAACATAGTTTTAAATTTATATATACTTACATACCTAATGAAAATCTTAAAACATCTAAAATAAAGTGATCAAATCACAAGAATACACTGATTATTGGAATATAAAATGGTTTATTAACTTGGTGTATTAACTTTGCAGAGCTGTTTGTTCATTTGTAGAAAAGTTGAAGATGCAGTCCCACTTCTAGGCACACATCCCCCAGAGAGCTGCTTTCATCTACATTCAAGTGTACCAGATTTTTCAGAGCAACATTATTTATTTATAAGAGTGAACAACTAGGAATAATTTATATCCATCATTGGAGAATGTATATAAATAAACTATGGTATACAGCTATTGAATGTAATATGGCACAACATTGAAAATTAGTAAATATGAGCTACATGTGTTCACAAAAATGAAACTAAGGACTAAAAGCCTGTGAAGCTAATGTTGAACAATGATAAAGTACATCCCAACAGAACACAGAAAAACTAGATACACTACGATACTATTTGCATACTTTAAAATGGCAAAATTATACTCTATCCTAAGGTTCCGTCTATACATATGTAGTAACAATATAGAGAAAGGCAAGAGAATGGTACCTGAGAGAGCCATCATTCCTGAGGAGATGAGAGGGTGCTGCAGGTGGTGGGGAAGAAGGCAATTGAGAGCTGCACCTGTATTGAGAAGGTTGGATTTCTTAGGTTAGTTGGTGGACACATGTACGTCTGTCTGGTTATTTACATACTGTTTTTTTTTTTAATCTGAAAAAAAAAGTTATAGTTTTTTTGATACTAGGGAGAAAATATAAATTCAAGTTGTTAACAAGAAATATGCATATGCTACCTCAATTCAAAAGTGTGGTCTTTTTTTTTTTTCTTTTTGAGAGGAGGTTTCACTCTTGTCACCCAGGCTGGAGTGCAATGGAGCGATCTCGGATCACTGCAACCTCCACCTCCTGGGTTCAAACTATTCTCCTGCCTCAGTCTCCCGAGTAGCTGGGATTACAGGTGCCTACCACCATACACAGCTAATTTTTGTATTTTTAGTCAAGACAGGGTTTCACCATATTGGCCACATGGGTCCCAAACTCCTGACCTCAGGTGATCCATTTGCCTCAGCTTCCCAAAGTGCTAGGATTACAGGCGTGAGCCACCATGCCTAGCCCAAAAATGTTTATAGCAATATTTTGAAAATATATTTGATAAAAATCTCACTGCAAGTTTACTTAAATTCAAACAAAACTTTTTAATGATGCACTAAGTAGTAACTTGCAAGCTGTTGGGATGGAATAATATTAATCAATTTATTTCACAATCCAGGCTAAAAAGATGTTGATATGACTGAGTTCCTGGTATCAACGATGGCTAGGGAATTTTAAATTTTTTCCTCTTTCTTTTGAGATACTTCTTTGCCTGAAGTTTACTTTATTGTTTTATATTAAAAATGCCTCATTAAAAATGTAATTTAGATTTTATAAAAGAACATCCTCCTGGAAAAAAGATGAGGTAATAGAAATGAAAATGTATTAATTGTCCAGGCATAGCGGCTCATGCCTGTAATCCCAGCACTTTGGGAGGCCAAAGCAGGTGGATCACTTAAGGTCAGGAGTTTGGACCAGCCTGGTCAACATGGTGAAACCTCATGCCTACTAAAGATACAAAAAAACAAAAAAAATAGCTGGGCATGGCCGCAGACACCTGGAATCCTAGCTACTCGGGAGGCTGAGGCAGGAGAATCACTTGAACCAGGGAGGCAGAGGTTGCAGTGAGCCGAGTTTGTGCCATTTCACTCCAGCCTGGATGACAGAGGGAGACTCCATCTCAGAGGGAAAAAAAGGAAAATACATAAATCATAGTTGATTCTTTTTTTTTTTTTTGAGACGGAGTTTCACTCATTACTCAGGCTGGAGTGCAATGGCGTGATCTCAGCTCACCGCATCCTTCGCCTCCTGGGTTCAGGCAATTCTTCTGCCTCAGCCTCCTGAGTAGCTGGGATTACAGGCACACGCCACCATGCCCAGCTAATTTTTTGTATTTTTAGTAGAGACAGGGTTTCACTATGTAGACCAGGATGGTCTCAATCTCTTGACCTCGTGATCCACCCGCCTTGACCTCCCAAAGTGCTGGGATTACAGGCATGAGCCACTGCACCCAGCCGATTCATTTTTAAAGTTACCCCTCAAAATGTAGGAAATTTAGTTCTAAAGTTTTTATTTCTAGGAATTTCTCTTAAACAGTAAATAATTTGTACCATCTAGATCAAGGGTTCTCGAAGTTTCTTCATTCATGATGCCCTGAGGATCTCAGTAGACTTTTATGGTACCCGTAGACCAAAAGAAATGATCTAAGAATTTAAGCAGTTACATCACAGCAACCACCCAGCGTCCAGCATTGTAAAGACAGGACATCACTGGAAGAAACGTAGCACAATCCAATGTTGAAACAGTGAACTGCCTTAAGTTAGTCATTTTCAGTGTCTAACAGATGTGGATTATTCCTGTTTCCCCTGAAAATGCAAAATAGCTCATAGCACCTGTATTAGTCTGTTATCACACCACTATGAAGAAATACCCGAGATTGGGTAATTTATAGAGGAAAGAGGTTTAATTGACACTCACAGTTCTGCATGGCTGGGGAGGCCTCAGGAAACTTACAGTCATGGTGGAAGGGGAAGCTAACTTCACGTGGCAGCCGGAGAGGGAAGTGCAGAGCAAAGTGGGAAAAGCCCCTTATAAAACCATCAGATCTGTGAGAACTCACTATCATAAGAACAGCATGGGAGTAACCACCCCCATGACTCAGTTACCTCCCACTGGGTCCTTCCCATGACATATGGGGATTATGAGAACTACAATTCAAGATGAAATTTGGGTGGGACACAGCCAAATCGTATCAGCATACCTGTGAATTTGCTGCCATATTAGGTAGACCCAATAACACACTTCGGAATACAGAGGGCTCTGCATTCATTCATTCACTGGCATTTTTGGTGGTCTCTTTTCATTGACTGCAGGAGAAGCCATACAAGTGCTCAGAGTGCAGCAAGGCCTTCAGCCAGAAGCGAGGCCTGGATGAGCACAAGAGGACGCACACTGGAGAAAAGCCTTTTCAGTGTGATGTGAGTTTGGATTCTTTTTTTTTTTTATCCTCCCATAGTGTCTTTCAATAATAGGAAGTAGGGTTGTGTATTTGTGTATGTGTGTGTGTATGTGTGTTGTAGTGCCGGTATGTGCCTATGCCTGTTAATGTCTCGTGCTATTTATAGCTTTTTCTTTCATAATACATGTAACCACATTGTAATCATTTTATTTATCTTGGTTTGCTGGCAGCAAATAAATTCTGATTCCTTTTAGACATGCTTGTATCCTGCTTTAATACCATTGAGTTGTTCTTCCAAGGTGAAAATGCATGATGATTTAAGGCAGCTCTTTACTGGTTAATGATAGTTAAACCAGAGATTCGACTGGTCATACATATTATTTACTTAGTTAAAGCTAAACATGTACAAAATTTCAAAATGCATATAAACTCCTTTGTCTTAAATAATGCTATTACTTAGTGTCTAGGTTTTCTGCTTATGACATTTGAATTGAAATGGAAATATTTGACATAGCATGCATTATTTCTGAAAGGAATAAATACTATTGTTGTAAGTAAAATTAATCTGAACATTGATCAATTTAGAGGAAATAAAGCCAGTTTCTCAACCAACAGTGCCACTGTTCTTTTGTGCAGGACTGGCAGTTGATAGAGAATGGACACAGATGTTAGGGAATCAATGCAAGAAAAAACATTAAAGCTCTACTTTGTCATATGGCACAGGGCAGAATCCTGTTTAAACATTGAGGGAAATTCCAGAACTTAGTTCCATCAGCCTGTCCCAGTGGATAAAGCATAGGGTAAGCAATCCATATGAAGGGAAATTCACAAACACAAGATGTTTTCCTTGTCCTTTCAGGAAACTTCAGTGGTAAGGTTAAGGCAACAATGTACTCCCAGCGGGCATACTCATAAAAATACCTTTATTAACTGTACTTTTTAAAGAAAAGAAACAGTTGCAGAGAAAGAAACACACACATATAAAGGTCTGTACTGAATGGAACTACAGCCCTAGTTCAGTGATTTCAGTTAGTTTAATTAATTGCTGCTTTTATTGGAAGCATTTTCATAAAGTCAAAACCCGTTTCGATGGTTTAATTGCACTGCCACACAGATAACTGATATGGCCCCAAAATTAAATACTCACTGCATATGGATGTCTTTCTACCATCACATTTAATCCATCTTTTTGTCTATGCTGAATGCTTTTGTTGAATATTTCCTTAGGTAAATTAAACCGTCATGTTACGTTTTTAAAACTATAATGTTACAAGATGACTTTTTTCTATGTGCTTCTGTCCCATTTATTTCTATAATGTGTTTAAAACTCCAAAGTCTTCATTTGCAGCCCATACTGATCTGTTGAGTAGAAATCCATATTTCTAAGTGCCTCCTAAACATTCCTGAAATGCAGCCTGCTCAGTAGAGAACTGTCTGTCTTTACTCCAAAATCTTGTCCTCTTAAACATTGTGGATAGAAGTCACCCTTTCCCACCCCACTTCATTCTGTCTCCCTCTTAAAGACCTCTCAGATTCATTGATTCCTCTTAGTTTTCATTTCTACTTGTAACACATAGCTCAAACCTTCACTGTTTCATATTACATCCAGTCTCTAGTATGTGTGTTCTTCACCCTGTCACCCTACCAAGGTGATGCATTTTTTAAAATTAAGGTGAAATTTATACAATATAAAATTAACCATTTTAATATGAACAGTTTGGTGACATTTAGTATACTGAATGTGTTTTACAAGCAACACCTCTGTAACTCAAAAATATTTTCATCGCCACAAAATAAAACTCCATACCCAATAAACATTTACTCCTCATTCCCCTTATCCCTTAGCAGCTACCAATCTGCTTTCACTTCTATAGACTTGCCTATTCTAGATACTTCATATAAGTGAAATACACAATATGTGACCTTTCATGACTGGCTTCTTTCATTGAGCATAATGTTTTTAAGCTTTATCCACACTGTCTCATGTATCAGTAGGTCATTCTTTTTTATGGCTAGATGATATTCCATTATATTTTTATATCACAATTTGTGTATCCATTTATCTGTTGATGGACACTTCTTTCTGCCTTATAACTACTGTGAACAGTGCTGTGGTGAACATGGGCATGTAAGTATTTGAGTACTTTTTAAAAATTATTTTGAATTATTTGGGATATATACCTAGGATGGAATTGCAGAGGCATATGTGATTTGTTTAACTTTGTGGGGAACTGACATACTGTTTTCCACAGGAGTGACACCATTTTATATTTCCACCAGCAATGCACGAGGATTCCAATTTGTCCCCATTCTTGCCACACTTATTTTGTATTTAATTATCCATCTTGGTGGATGTGAAGTATCTGACCATGGTTTTGATTTACATTCTCCAAAGGACTAATGATGTTGAGCATCTTTCCATATGTTTCCTGATCATTTCTATATCTTCTCTGAGGAAATGTTTCTTCAAGTCCTTTGCCCATTTAAAAATAGTGTTGTCTTTTTGTTGTTGAGTTACAAGAGGTTTTAAATTTTGGATGTTAGGCTGTTATCAGATATATGATATGCAAATTTTTCCCATTCTGTAGGTTTCCTTTTCACTTTTTTGATAATATCTTGGGATGCATAGGCCTTTTAATGTCGATGAAGTTCCCTTTATGCATTTTTTTTCTTTTCTATTTGATCATGCTTTTGGTGTTATGTCTAAGTATCCATTGCCAAATCCAAGGTCATGAAGATTTGCCGTTCTGGTTTTTTTTGTTGTTGTCGTTTGTTTTTTGTTTTGTTTTTGTTTTGAGAGTCTTATAGTTTTAGCTCATATTTAGGTCTTTGATACATTTTGATTTAATTTTTATGTATGGGATAAGGAAAGGGTCCATTCTCTGCATTTTTTTTTCAGTCTTTCAGTATTGAATATGGTAGGTTTTTCATAAATGCCCTTTTATTTTAATCAAGAGAGGATGTTGGAGTTTTTCAAACTCCTTTTTGGTGTCAATTGAGATGATTATGGTTCTTTTCCCCTTTGTTGTGTTAGTATGATATATTAACTTGATTACACATTGGTCATGGTTTAGAATCCTTTTAAGATGCTCTGAGATTCAGTTAGTATTTTGCTTTTTTGTTTGTTTCAGGATTTTTGTATCTAGATTTATAAGAGATTTTGGTCTGTGGTTTTCTTTTTTCATAACATCTTTGTTTGACTTTGGTATTAAGATAATGCTACACTTACAGAATGAGTTGGGAAATGATTCCTCCTCTTCTGTCTCTTTGAAAGACTTAGAGAATAATTGATTATTATTTATTAGAGAATAGTTGATTAGTTTTTCAGTGTTTGGTAGAATTTATCAGTGAAGCCACCTGATCCTGGTCTTTTCCTTGTTGGGATGTTTTTCATTTGATTTAGCCTCTTAATTGGTCTTTTAATTTTTTGAATTTTTTTCCTGAGTCAGTTTTGGTAATTGCTGTGTGTTTCTAGAAATTCGTCCATTTCATCATGGTTACTCAGTTTGTTGGCAAATTGAGTAACCATGATGAAATGGACAAAGATAGATAGATAGATAGATAGATAGATACATTGATACATTGATACATAGACATAGATAATCAGTTTCTTACACTTTTGCACAAATGACACATCAGTCATCAATACTACTTTAAACCTCTTAGGTACAGTCATTGCAGGCTGTGCAGATGGCCTAGCATACCTATAGTGATGACTGAAATCTTTCTTTCTCCTGCCCAGCTCTCTCTTTTGAACCCTAGGCAGATATTTTCAACTGCCTATAGGACATCTCTCCTGTACTCCAAACTGAAATCATGATCTCCCAGCTTTCTTAATCTCTCAACATGATCCTTTCAATTACTCATGTCTCTGAGGACTGTACCATCCCCAAATAACCCAAACCACATGTATGAGCCTCATGTTGGACACCTCTTTTTCCCTAAGCCATGAATGATAGCCACTGTCCTAGTTAAGGTCCTATTGTGGGAAAGACAAAGAGATCCACAGATTGCATATATTCTCTCTGATCTCTACTAAAACTTGGGAATATATAGGTGTTATCTGCATGTATATGAAGCAGTCAAGGTTCACTGAGGTTGAGTGACATGCCTACAGTTCACAGAAAGTCAAGATTCTAGAGTTCAAGGTTGCAGTGAGCCAAGATTGTGCCACTGAACTTCAGCTTGAGTGAGAGAGTAAGACTCTGTATCAAAAAAGAAAAAAAGATCCTAGGGTCCAAACCCAGGTCTTTCTAAGCAGTTTACCATGCACCTTTCACTCAGACTCAGTAATTCCTGCCTTTGCTTCTATCTGTTTTTCAAACATACCACCATCTCTAAATTCTAATTGTCACCTTCATTTCTCTAATTCTCTCACACCCTACATCCAGTCCAGTAGCAAATTCAATTGGTTCTACATTAAAGTAAGTTCAGGGTCTGAACACTTCTCATATCTCCATAGGTTCATCTCAGTCTCCTGGAATGTTGCTATACCTTCTTAGCTGCTCCCTCTCCTTCTGTCTTTGCTCTAACAGTCTCTCCTAAACTTGCCATGCAGAGTAATCTTTGTAGAACCCAAGTCAGATTATGTATTTGTGAAATGCATACAGTATTCATTTGCTCAAACCTTCCAATGACTGTGCATCTCATTTAGAGTGGAAAACAGTTTTATCATGATCTAAAAGAACCCATATAACCTGCAGCCTTCACCCTCCCACTCTGCTCTCTTTGACTTCATCAGCACCCTCTACCTGATTCTGGCAACAGGGCCTTCTTACTGTTCTTTGGATACATTGGTCTGACCCAACATCTACATCTTGGCCTTTGCTATGCTGTTGCCTCTGCCTAGAACACCTTTCTCTTCAGGTGTCTTCATGGCCTGCTCATGTGCGTCTTTCATATCTCTGATCAAATTACCTTCTCTCTTATCTCCATTCCTTCCGTAGCTCTTATTTTATATTATTTGTCTTCATGGCACTTATGTCCACCAAAAATCTGTTTGTTTATTTATTATAACCT